GCGGGAAAGATTCTCTCAAGGCAGATATTATTAATTTTAAACTTGCGTTCGAGGAAATGGACCAGAAACGAAAGCCTGTTTGTGATCGGAATATACAACTTTTTGTACATACGTTTACTATTATAGCATTACGTATGTTTCGTTCTATGTGGCTGTAGGAATTATAGTATAGTTAAACAAGGTACAATGGTATTTAAGAACGGCGTGTAGACCGCGTTTACTATACCGCCAGAATCGACAGCTTCCAGCGGCCACCGTGGTGGGTTCCCACCGATAGCTACTCTAAACTCTCGCAGTGGTCGATTCTGGTAATAGATGGCGCTCAGATAGAAAACAATTGCTATGCTTTCGTTCGTTGTCACAGAGACCTAGGCTAGATCATGTTGATTAGTTGCTAAAAAGCTCGAAACAGCTGTCCATGGACGGCTGTCTGTAATATTTCATTAAAGTACCTTGTAAGAAGGTGTTTAGAAGCGTCATGATCCTTGCAAGGTCAGTTTCAGGGAAAGTTGATTTTTATATGTTTATGCCGGAATAGTTTTGGCACGAGTTACTCGAGACATATTGTGCATCTCAAGTGTTTTGTGCCGTTGTTTGTTATAATTAGATGTATTGACGAACTATCAATTCTGTTAGTCTTATTGAGAGCATAGCAGGAGGGACCATCACAGTTATTTTGTATATTGAAGGGAGAAGATAGAAATTAATATTGCGCCTAATGCTATCAATGTTCAAGTCACCACATATTGTTTGTAGAAAACGATTTGTTTAAAATATGTATTTGTTAGACTTTCTTGAAATGGTGCAACTTTGCCAGATGGTAGGCCATACATGCATATTATTGTAATCTTTTCGTCACCTTTTATGGAGTTTGGTGTAACTACACTGGTCTCTATCTATCCCTCGTCCAATTCTTCGCTAATGAAAGGCATTCTTCTTGCTCCTAGTGTATCTTTAGCATAGATTCCGCATCCTCGGTGTATATACTTTATTCGACAAATCTACGGAATGAGCTTCGAAAAAATTGGCACAAACCATTCGACATGTGAGAAGCAGGCCAAAACAAGAAAACTCAAATTAATAAACAATAAAATACAATACCCAGAGGTTACGTTCACATTAGCGTACTTTTCCTTTTCCTTCCACCTTCAAAATCAACACGACCTTGATTTGACCTTGTAAGGGCCATATTAAGTTTCCTGAATTGTCGAGCAACCTGAGCCTGATCTATTCCAGCATAAACATATGAAAATCAACTTTCCCTGAAAATGACCTTGAAAGAATTATGGTCGTTATCAACATGACACCCAACATCTTCCTTTCAATGAAATATTTCTTTTAGTATACTGATTCTCCGAGTATTCGGTGTGGAAATACAATCAACACAATCACCATTTTTTTGCAAATCCGGGGATTTCTCAGAAACTAATCATAGGATTGCTTTTGTTCCATGAATACTTTGTTTGGGAAGGCAAGAAATATATCACACTGAATTTTTAGATAAATCGACGAGAACCCATTTTCCATAATATGGTCTGTGCCTGGTCCTTTTACTATTTTCTCCATAGAACTTATCTCAGGATTTCATAATGGCTCTTACGCCCCCTATATCAAATTTAACAAAGAAAAGGAAAACATGAAGTCATATTATACCCCACATGTTCTCAGAAAGAATTTGGAATAAATTAAATGTCTAATTTCACTGATCTATAAATAGGAAAAGAAAATGTTGCTGGTAGCACGTTTTGCGGCTAGAAGTTTCTGCACCGGTGAAGGATTTCTCGGAGGATTTTTGTTGTTAATTTAGTTTAGAATGATGTTGCGTTTATGTGATACCGTTACTTGCGGTGTACCTACACTAAAAAACTACCTATAGCAAAATACAATAAGCTATAAGCAGATGTTGGTCGCACTAATGTATTTTTTCGCATGATGCCTATACTTTCCTGAAACCGCGGTGCTATGAACAGTCGCATTGAGTACCTTGGATTTCAAATAAACAATAACGCTTCCTTGAGAACCTTTGTATTTCATAGTATGCTGTAACAGTTGTCATCACAGACTGCTATCGATGTCAGAAAGATTTTCCTTTGCTGGCCGTATCGATTTAGCTTTTTGATGATCAATTTCAGTTTTTTGTGCTAAATGTTCATCAACAATAAAAAATGGAAATGCAAATTGTTCAACTTCTGCATTTTATAGCAAAGCCGACTAGGCTACATATAGACAATCAGTATTACAATACTGACTGTCAGTTCAGAGGTAAGTAACACAACTTGGAAATTACTTTATTCGCAATCTGTAAATTAATCGACGATTTTTCATAATAATGAGTAAGAGTGAATTTAAAAAATCCGGAGAGAAGATGTCATTAGTACAGATTCTAGAAAACTTGAATGCCTGAAAATAAAACAAACAGATGGCTTCTCTATCTTAAGGAGCCGTGCTTGGAATAAAATTACAAGGACCTATAATGAGAAAGGCATTTTTCATTACTACTCTGCATTGCTGAGCACAAAAAAAACGAAGACGGATTTCGGCTAGACATACACGGGGGATTAAAACTTCGATATTATGGTGATATAGAGTGTTATCTAAACATGTCGCAAGCATTTTAAGAGTAATTTTCTGTAATATTCTAATAATATTTTATTGTTTCTACCTCAAAGACGCGGTACGAACAATGGTATTTTTGATTGAACGTTTCGAGTTTTCCAAAAGACCATATCCACTAGTTCGCTTCCCGTTCGTCTGTCTCTAAGACTAGACTAAGACCTATACTGTACTGATGAGTTGCTAATGAGCACAAACACCGTTGTATGCGATTGGTTAAAGTTATAATAATGATATTATTTATTTTATTCCCAACAGGTGTAATCCAATTAAAGGAAATTTTTTAAAAAGCACCATATTAATTTGACATTATCATAGGACAAGTCACAGATATCGCATATAGTGTTATAGGTACATTTTACACCTTCTATTAATGGGTGATTTTTGCGACATATTGGTGCAACCAAAACTACAATAAAATGTGATGTGATGGCGACTTCCTAACCTAGGTGTATTTAAATTAATGCAGGACAATCTATTTTTGCATTTACTAATTGATGCAAAAAGGTTAGAGCAGAAAGATCACGTCTTAATAGCAAAGAATCGGGTTGGAATAAATCTAATCAGACATTATTGTCGATACCTTTTTGAGGATAAAACCCGTTGCATTTTAAATAAATGTGAGCTCTACGCTGTACCGATTCAACTAGACTTATCGAGTTTTCATAGATTGGCGCCCAGATTAGTGCTGTGTAGTCGAGTTTGCTTCTAATAAATGTGAAACACAAAATTTTCAGGCTATCAACGTTAACAAATCCTGACCAATTCCTAACTAGGTATCCCAGACTCCTGGAAGCTGATGCTACTATACTAGAAATATGATCTTTGAATCAAAGTTTACTATGAAGCTTTCAACTTTTTCGCGTCTTTGGCCATTTATGTGATAATTATAGGAGCAGGTAGCACTTAGTTTTCTAGCAAATGTTAAAATTTTACATTTAGAGACATTCAGAGTCAGGCCATCCCTACTGCACCACGAATAAACTGCGTTTAAATTTTTCTGAAGCGATAATCATCTTCTAACTTTAAGGTCGAAAATATTTTTTAATCGTCAGCGAAAAAGAGGTGCATAGTAGGTACTTGGTTCTTGTGACAAGTCATTGACGTATAGTTAAAAAGCAAGGGATCAAGGTTAGATCCATGAGAAATTCATGACGTAGGCGTATATTGAATAGATCTAAGATATAATTTTCTCGAAATCAGATACGATTTCAGTAGCGTTAGATACACCAGCTGCTCCTAGTTTTGGTAGAAGTAGGTAAAAGTCAATTTGATTGCTGATTGTTGTATAGGGAGTCAGATATGAATTGAGTAATGCTGGCTAAGTTTGTTGTTGTAGACGTGTAGACCGTCCTATCATGAACCCATGTTGATTACTGACTATAGTTCTTTCAATAGAGCTGTAATGCTGTAAATTGCAAAGGAAGGCTATTTGACGGTAGGAATATCAGATGCCGCTTTTAAAAATGGGTAAAATTTTTGTTTTTTCCAAATTGTAGGGTATATACAAGATTTTAAAATTAAGTTAAAAATGACAGATAGAGGTGCAGCAAGGACATTTATTCATTCTTTAACAAAGAAACTAGGAATATTGTCGTATCCGGAGGTGATTTTATTTTTCAACTTTTTAGATTCTTTAATAATGTTTTCTTCGGGAATATGACATAATGAAATGATGTTGTTAGGACTCGAACTTACGTTTTTTTTAAATTGTATAAGCCAGACTGTACAAATACACTAGCAAAATGGTGCGCAAAAGCACTGACTATATTTTCAGGGGTATCATAGGCCTTATCATTATAGAAATACTTCCAGGAATCCAAGAGTGCCCTTTTTTACAATTCACACATGCTCAAAATTTAGATGGTCGGCAGCTATGCTGCCCTCAACATTTTGTATGTATGCTGAGTAAGCGGTTTTCATCTGATTTTTGATGGTAGCCGGAGTAACTTGAACTTGGTATTATAGACATTATTACCATGCTTTCTGTCGTTATTTTTTGCTCTGTCTGTTATAAAGACGGAAAGCAAACTTTCAGACTAATTTTGATCTCTTAGGATCTCCGGCTTTTCTGTTTTTTTCCTGCGTATCTGCGAAGTATGGAGAGTTTGAAAATGTCTGAAATATTCCTAATTCTTTGTGCCGTACGGTCCGGATTATCAGAATTTATCTTATTATCCGTATCTGAAACGTATCCTCATGAAAGGCAGACACTGAAAGGCGGCGGTAGGCCGGGTTATTAAAAATCCTCTCGAGGTGATTTACGCACGAATGCTATGAATCTGGCAGACGTTCGTTGCTCATGAGAAGAAGAAAAAAGAAAAAGAAGAAGAGAAAGCGGTTCTGAGGTGGCACAGACTCGACGTTAATCTGCCGCCCCTGCAGAATCACACGAATTCAATAATTCCGGCAAAATTGAATTTTCGACGCTCTGGTTGAATAGAGTTACCAGACATCGAGCTCGTCGTTACAGCAGGAATCTCGAAGTCGAAGGATTTGTCCATGGACTTAATTAAGGAGCTGAATGCTACGAAACAAAAAAATTTGAAATTAAAAATTACATATACGGAAAAATGCGCCAAACAACTTCAGGCCGGGTATTCTCGTTCCTTAGCTTGAAAGTGATACGTTTTCAAAACGCCGAACCATGTCATACAGCAAAAGCGTTTAGGCGTTTTGTTTAGATATTGCTTGGGGACATAATAATCTGGTACATTTTAATGCGTCCAAAACAGAGTACAGCACCTAGACTAACAAGAAGCGCCCTAACGGTCATTCGGTTCCGATGGATGGACGAGTTCTACCAAAGAGCCGTTCATTGTGTTTGGTCGCCGTCCAGATCACCGAGGTGTTGATCTGGCATGAACACATTCGTCAATAGCGGCAACTGATGGAAAAAATGTAGATTATTTATTTAGGGGTAAGAGTACTTTTCTCCACATAACCTCCTTATTAATATGTATAATGCCCAGATAAGACCTAGAATCGAGTTCTGCTCACATGTTTAAATGTTTGAGGTGCTGCCGGCCCCGACTTCATTATCCATGCTCGATGATGATCAGAGGAGGTTTGACCGAACGATCGATGTCTCTTCTCTAACGGACAGTCTTGAGACCTTTTCGCAACAACGGGCCGTCGGCAATCCAGCTCTTTTCTACCACGGTGTCAACGGGATTTGCTTCTCGAAGCTGTTCTATGATACCGCCGCGCGATGTGCCTTCAAGACTGACCCGCCTGACTTTGGCCTCCCACCTTAACCGTGCCGAACTTCATACCATTACGACCACTCCTTTGTCCCTACGGCATCGAGATTGAGGAGGCTTTTTTCAGTTCAACTAACATTAGGCAGTAAATCGGATTAAGAAAGTTTTTTTAAGCTACCTATTGCAGCTGCGGTGCCTTGGTATTGTGGGCCTACGCGGCTGCTTGGATATAAAAATGCACACTGTTGAGACGCTTTAAGTTCAATCCGTCAGGCACATCATGGCAACAGTGCTTTTTCCAATGATAGTCAGCTTTGGTTATTGACATTATAACAGGCAGTTACAAATTCATTTATATTATAATAAAAGCATCAGTGTTGACTTAGTATCATATTTGTTTTTTGTTAGCCATGAAAGTACAAGTTCATCATTGTTACTTATTGCTTATCGCGTGCGCTCTATAAGGTACTAGCAAAAATGGTTCCTCCAAATTTTGCGCATCCTGATTTCTTAGTTCTACAAAATTAAACTCCGAAAAATCGCCATAAACGTTTGCCTCTCAAGATTATCAATATTACCAATTCAGTTAACGCCAATCAACTGGTATGCCATCAGGTACTGGGAATTTATTCAAAATATATCTTATCCGTTACAGCTAACACGCTAGATACAAACAAAAGCCTAGGCAGCGATCGATCGCTGAGCAACTTGAAAACATCTCGCGTTCTGAAGAAAGTACAAGATAGACATGTCATGAAAAACTGACAATTTAACAAAGTTGGCGTTCTATAGAAATGATCACAGAAAAAACGCAGAGGTACAGATAACAATATATTCGGTATAATAATTCGATAGTGCGCCTACTTCTTTGGCTGAAAGTCTGAACTTATGGAACACAACGTTCAGTCATGATCTTCTATAAAATAGATTTAAACTAAACTGTGTTAAGTAGACGAATACTTGTAGGTTGATGACTGTACAGAATTATACGTCGAAATTCTGATTTGATATCGATAATGAGTATTTGGGCGTACTCAAGTCATCAGATGATCTAGTCTGATAACTGTGGAAGCTAAAGTTTGTGTAGTACTTATCTATATTTTTATGTATACCTATTAAAGTGGCATATATAAATAATGTTCAAACAGGCCTTATCTGGAGAGTTGTAAAGTGATCCCTACAAGAATCATAATATCCTAAGGCGATCCTGGTTCTAAGAACTAATAGGTAAGCTATGAATGAAGTAACCCAAAGTAACAACTTTTTAATACTTGCACTTACTATCAGAAGGGATGCTGGCAGATGCATGTGTGATCTCATCAGACTTACCTGAAAAGAAAAAAATGTGTTAATAAAATAACTAGATATTTAATTTTTTTACATGGAGATGTCTCCGAAAACCAGCAAATGTAGCCACAAAAACAAGGTTGAAATAAGCTAATCTCAAAATACTTTTCAAGGTATTTTAGAACAAGGCTTTAACTTTAATCTAGATGCTTGGCAACCTCAAAAATTAAACTTTAGGCGAGCATTGAATGTTCCCCCATGGCAACCCAGATCAAACTTGATTAAGCATTTTTTTTAAATAAATTACATTTTTTACCCGGACAAATTTGTTTCTGGTTTTTTGAATCATTTTTAAAAAAGGCTTCCAGTAGCTTTTCTCTAAAGTTGACCATTTTCGAGTACTAAGGGATATACTGTCTGAAAAGCCCTAAAAATGGGTATATTCAGTGCTTTAAAACTCTATGGAAAATTATAATTTTTGAGGTCATCAAGCATCTAAATTAAAATACGACACCGCAAAGCGCCATTTATCACACCAGAATCGACCAGTGCGGGAAGCGCATAGCTGCTATTAGTTGGAACTGTTAGGGATCTCAGTTCACGTGTAATAGCCCAGTGACCATGCGACAGCTAGATGGCTGACAATTCTGGCTGTAAAGTAGATGTCGAATACTTGCCATTGAATAACCTATACATTCATTCATTGTCCAGAGACGAGAGACCAGGCTCATACCACGGTAATGAGTAGCCAAGAAGCACAAAACAGCTGTCCGTGGTTGATTGCCTTTTGGTCGGAAGGACGAAAGCATCATGTTTAGTTTATTTAAGTTGAACTGTAAACCTTGTTTTACAAGACCCCGAAGAATATTTTGAGATTACTTCATTTTAGACTGTACCTATAACTTTGTAGTTTGAAGACACCATTGTTGCTTAATGCATTTCTTATCGGTCAATTGCTTACGTGGAAATTATATAAAGACATGCGATGCAGTTTAAAGTAGTCATTTTGTTGTGCACTTTCCGACTCTTCTCCGGTAAGACTTTATTGCTAGGCATTCCAAACATGGAATATTTACAACTACGACTGAAAAAAATTCATGTCATAATGATGAAGACTTTCTTCTTCGTCTACGATTATCTAAAATACTATTTTCAAGCTACTGTTCGTAGAATCATAAAGTCACGTATCATGTGATTGTCAGCCTGATTGATTGATCGTTTTTACTGTATAATCACTCATTGACACCATGTCCAATTTACATACTCTCGACGACCTCATTGTATAAAAACGAGTCGTTCAATTGGAACGTTGTGATGATGATAAGCAGGTTATAAATAATTTTCCCCATTTTGAAACAAAAAATGGCGTCAAGCAGGTTGACTCTGCACCTCCTATGTAATGCTGCCATCTGTACATAAAGGATCATTTCGGCCCTTAGAGAAACAAGTCCGTCCATAGTTGAAACCATTTGACAACGTTGCGACCACAGTGCGATGAGTAAACCTCGCCAGCTTTTATTTTCGTTGCCCTTGACATGGTTATTAAAAATATTTGTATCATTCCTCAATAAAAAGATGATGTTACTGTTCTGAGAAAAACGTTAGCTAGACCATGTATACTAAGTGACATATAAATCCGAACACCCAGTTTTATTTTAATAAAATTTTGTATAAGTACTTAATGAAGCATAATAAGTAAATGATAAAAATTTCAAAATGATTGCACTGCTTTAAAGCCCTTTGACCTTTAATAATGTGTGAATGCACCCTGATGTGCTACGCATTCTCCAACGCGCCTAGGCATGCTTCTGATCAGGTGGTCAATGTCCTCCTGTGGTATCTCATTCCAGGCAACCACCAACTCCTCTCGAAGTGCTTCTCGAGTCTGAGGAGGACGTTGCAAATTGAGCAATCTCCTACCCATCATATCCCACACGTGCTCAATTGGGGATAAGTCGGGAGATCTTGGTGGCCATGGTAACAATGTGACATCATTATGTTGAAAGAAGTCTATTGTGACTCTTGCAACATGTGGTCGGGCATTATCTTGTTGGAAAGTTGGATCTGCCAGGGTGTCAAGATAGGGTAAAAGATGGGGTTCTAGAACTTCGTGGATATAATGCTGCGCGTTCATGTTACCTCTGATGAAGATTAAAGGTGACCTGGAACCATAAGCTATAGCACCCCAAACCATAACTCCAACAGTGTGATGAACATGTCTTTCAACAAAAAACTGTGGATTCCTCCTTTCACGACGTCGCCTTCTAACCCTGGCACGACCATCGTGCATGCCTAAACAAAATCGAGACTCGTCACTAAAGACAATACTGTTCCATTCCTGATCCCAGAGTGACCGTTGTCTGCACCACTCAAGGCGATTACGTCGGTGTTCTGGAGTTAAAGGGAGGACCCAGTGTGGCCGGTATGAAAACAAGCCAAAACTTCTCATTCGTCGTAAAACACTTCGCATGCCAATAAGTCTTCCGTGTTCTGCAAACCATTCATTTGCAATGGACCTGGTAGTGGAGAAACGGTCCCTTAAGGCCAATAATCTTAGGCGGCGATCTTCACGGTCTGTTGTTCTACGGCGGCGTCCAGTGCTCTTTGCGTACGGCCTTCTCGAAGCTATGCCTGACAACACCTAACCACAGTGTCTACACTTCTTTGCACTCTAACTGCAATTGCCCGAAAAGAAAGTCCAGCTTCCCGAAGTCCCACTATACGGCCCCTATCAAACTCACTAAGTTGACGAAATCGTACAGGTCTCCGTACTCTAGGCATCGTAACCGATCGTAAAGGATGTCAAGAACCAAAATCCGCCAACGTTGATTCTTTACTGCGGCTGAAATATTCATTTTTAGAGCGTTAGTGAATTAAAAAAAAGCAGTATAGAAACCGGTATGTCCAACTGATAAGGCTGAAAATTTTTTCACTTTTTATCTACAGTAAGATAAATACATTCACCAACTTTTATTAAAATAAAACCATTTAAACTGGGTGTTCGGATTTATATGTCACTTAGTATATAACAAAAAATTAAATGAACTTGGCCTTCACCATGCACAGTGCACACAGCCCACAGCAAAGCGGAAGCGATTGCCGACTATAACGAACATCCACCGATGACGACGCACCCTTGAGGAACCACGTTGCACGTATTGCCACCCGAATGTAGGAAATATTAAGTAAGTTTTAAGGGTAAATGTACAATGACACCTATGGTGACTGAAATATGTCTTATATGTGCGTAGAATTACTGTAGTTGGATGCGTATAAATATACGAACGTTAAAAAAACGAGATATACTCTCCCCCACTCCCTGCAGCTCTAACCTCAAATATTTTACTGCTGAAATTTTGAGCGGTTTTTATTTTTTCGTTTCTGAGCGGTACCTCTCTATGCGGTTATAAGATTAGCGAACAGACCGACAGGCAGATCGATGGAAATGAGTAACGTGATTTTTCGTGATGTACATGTCATGGAAGATCTAATATACAAAATAGATCATTTTCGAAAATTTTCGCGATTACAACACTTCCCCGCCAGTAAGCGTGGGAAGTAATAAGTGGTATAAATTCAATTTGCGAGAAAAAGGAAAAAAAATCATGAAATATCCCCATTAAATTGTAGAAGCTGTTAGCGAAAATGTGGACGGTGTTCTACGAACAGTGCAGAGGCGATGCATATTCATTTAAAACCGTTTTAGAGCGATTATTTTCATGTAGTTTACCCGTTGAGCCTTAAATATTCTAGGCTTGATTTAGTGCTTGCTTCGAGGATCTAGCTGTTAGCCCAGTAAATTTGCAAATATTTTTTATCTTCAACCCTAAAAATAATCTAAAGCTGCAGCTAGGTTCTTGTTAAAAAGCATAAATAAGAGAATTCCAAATTTCTGAAAAATTGTTTTGACCATAAAAATGATCAGAAGCAGGATGCTATGAAGTTACAAAATTCATGAAGCACCACATGGCGATATTGCTAGTTTATTGTAACAATAATGATCTTATGTGGCCCATTTCACGCTTCGAATTGAAAGAGGTATGTTGATTTGAGAAATGATCGGATTGTGATATTACTTTCATTAAATCAATCAAGAGACAGAAATAGCGGAACGATACGTAATATGTTCATTCGACTGTATGAAAAAGAAATACTGTAAATAGGATAGAAAGAACAATTAGTACTAAGGACATGACAAATTGTATGATAAGCTAGGTGTGTTGAAGTTATGTCTACGGATCATAGCTTACAAACTATCCGCTTTGTATTGAGAAAATCAGCTTTCTTTTTAAACAATGCAGTATAGTACTGGATCTAGAATTGATTTGAACCACATTTCCGCTTCACCAGGTAGTGGTATTCTCTAAGTTTTGCGTCAAATAGGAAGTCACAACGATTTTTTTTTCGCTTTAAATTATCGGCATTATCCGAAACTCACGTTGATTCCATAGTAAGAGCAACATGTACAGTACCGAGCAAAAGTGGAGAAACATTTTATTTTTTAAAGATTTTATGAAACTATGAAAGTAAACTAAACACATGTTTTTTTATAAGTTAATGTAACATGTAATTCAAACATGAAAATAAAATTTCTGCTTTAATCAAACCATGCTAACAATTATTATTAGAAAATACAGCGAGCAAAAATAGAGAAACATAATATACAAAGCAATTGTCGTTTATAAAGAAGCTAATAGTACTTGGTTGCATAACCTTCATTTTTGATAACTGCTAGACATCTTTTTCTCCTAGAACCAATTAGGCTATCTATTGTTTCTTTTGGAACAGAATTCCAGGCGACTCCGATTGTTTCAAATAGTTCCGGCACTATTTTTTAACTCTGCTTTTAAACCATGCTAACAATTATTATTAGAAAATACAGCGAGCAAAAATAGAGAAACATAATATACAAAGCAATTGTCGTTTATAAAGAAGCTAATAGTACTTGGTTGCATAACCTTCATTTTTGATAACTGCTAGACATCTTTTTCTCCTAGAACCAATTAGGCTATCTATTGTTTCTTTTGGAACAGAATTCCAGG